TGAAACAGACTGTTGTGGTTTTTGAGGTAAAACGAAAAACTATATTACGCTCTATCTATATGGTATTGAGCACTGTTTGTGTTTCGTGAACCAAAATCTTAAGCTATATATATATATATATATATATATATATATATATATATATATATATATATATATATATATATATATATATATATATAGTTCATATGTTTATATTATAAGGGACCTTTAAGCAAACACGACCTCACGCACGACGACGACTGGAATATGACGTAGAAGGACTGAAACGAAAACGCCGTTCTCTGCGGGAAATAATTCTACAAAAGTTAAGCAACACTGCAACACGACAACGTTGAGAATTTTTGACAACAATAAAAAAGTCAACCTCGTACCCAAGTTCTCATTCTTCACTCCTACCTCACTTTAATTGGGACCCTGGTATCGGCTGGTCACATGACCCGTCATATTTTGGCGGATTTTCTAATTTGTTTTTTGGGAAAGGATAGTAACTGAGATGTTTTGTTTTGTAATGTTATTTTAACAATATTAATGTTTACTACAATAACTACTTACTATACTTTCGCTAAAACAATTGAGCAAATCCGCCAAAATATGACGGGTTACGTGACCTGCCGATACCAGGGTCTTAATCTCAGTGGTCTCAATTCAAGCAAGGTAGGAGCGAAGATTGAGAACCTGGGTACGAGGTTGTAAAAAAGTTAACTTATTCACACAAATGTCATCTTTTAAGGAATTACAGAAGTTATTTCACATATGCCACATTATTGTTTTTATATTGTTCATACACGACTCAAAAAACCCAGATTTTCCATACGAGTTGTACCCTGATTTCAACCTTCATGACATGGATGAAGATGAATGTTTGGCAGAGGTCAGATTTCGCCGGCAAACAGGACATCCTAGTTCTTGCAGAAAACCTTCAAATCCCGAACAACGTTCAATATGTGACGGTTTGACCGGGCTTTGTATGTTGATCAAGCGGCTTTCGTACCCATGCAGGTATAGACCAGTCCCTGTAATAAGCATGATCAAATCTCTTTCAAATTATTACCAATACCGAATTGTTTCTACATAAGAATGATTCAATGCCTTTTTAAAGCTTATCTACATAAAACAAGTATAGCAGCCAAAAAATCCGAAATTATACTCACGTTTTCACAAGAACATCAAAAGACTTGATTTGCCGTCGTCGACGAACGCATGAGAACGTCAACATATTTCGAGCATGCGCAATGAGTTCAAAATGTGCAAACTTACTTCGGATCGTCGTCGTGCGTGAGATCGTGTTTGCGTAAGGTCCCTAGTACCCAGCAAGGCATGTTACTTGCAGGGCTCGAAATAGCGGGCTGCCAATGGCAAAAAGCAGGCCATATTTTAGAAATGGCAGGCAAAAACAAATTTGAACTGCCAAAGTAAAATGGCAGGTGAAATTCTACAGATATATTTAATTTCATTTGCTTACCACAACTCATATATACTAGATCATTTAGTTGACTAACTACGTTTATATTTGAGATGTAAATCCAAGTTTACTGCATGCAGTAAAATAGACAAGTTTAAAAATAATAAAAATGCATATCATGAAAACATTGATTTTCACAATACGACTCGTATGAGACATCGCCATTTTGGCAGTTCAATGAATAAAAATGGCAGGCTAAAATTTATTTCACCTGCCAAAACATTTTAGACTGGCAGGCCATATTTTTTCTCTATTTCGAGCCCTGGTTACTTGTCAACTGCATGCGAGATGCTGGCTAGTACATGAGTGATGTAATCTGAGTAATGTAAACTGGGTGACTGTTTACATCACCACAACATGACCATGGTGATACTGATGTCAGCAGAAAGAGCTGGGATCTCACCTAAGAGGACGTAATCTCAACCTATTCGGTCAAATATATAGGGTAACTCGGTTCCTTATGACCAGACTGTTCCTTTGTCCCGGTAAGGCGAGTTATTCGCCTTACCGGGTAACGATCACTAGCTCCATATAAACCGGGCTCTGGGGCCGGTTGTATAAAAACTTCGTTAACTTTAACTATGATTAGCGTTAATCACTGTAGTTAAATCCTTAACTGGAAAATACATGCATGCAGCAACCCCTCGCCTTTCTTAACAGATGGAGTATAAAAACTCCACATAAAGTATTAAGACCATTATAAACAAACATAAAAACACAACTGATGCGTAGCTTTATAATGATTATGAACGATAACATTCACTGCAATATGATGCATACCAGCTTGCATTAAAGTGATTTATCGAGCTAAGAATGGCTTAAAAATTTCGCAGATATGAATAAAACCGACAACACAAAGCAAGTACGGCATCAGTGGAATTTTACTACTGAAATGTTTACACTTACCCAAACCCGCGCAACAACGATTAAATTATCAAAGACAAAGACATCAACATCAAAACAATTATTATACAAACTTTGTTTCACGGTTGAACAGCCACTAATTCATGAAACTGCAGGCTTATTTCCAGTTAAAATCGAGAAAAAAACCGTGTTGTACTTTTGTAAACTTTTTAACGAAATTTAAAACAAAAAATTACTGTAAAACAGCAAAATACGTCCTTTCAAACCAGTTTGCAGACTTGGGCAATACTCGACGAGATCTCGCGCGTGCAAACACAATTTAGTGGCGTGCATCGCGTGCAAAAGGTATCGTATCTAAATTTCCGTGTGCATATACTTACTCTTGTCTTGAGCGACTCGGAGCACTTGCCGATCTTATTGGTCAAAACTATATTTATTTCAACTTGAGATCTTTGTTTTTGTCAACCTCGTACCCAGGGTCCCCGTGTTTAAAGGTTCTGGTGCTACGGGGACCCTGGGTACGAGGTTGTGTTTTTGTTCGAAAATATAAAAGTCATGTTGCTTATAACCAGGTGAAGTACTTCATTTAACATGCATCAATACGGAATCCAAGCGCCCACAGTGAATTTGCTCAGCTGAGTAAGTCTTAATTTTGTACGTTTTAAATTAAATTTCAACATTTTTACTGGTTTTATAATAGCAATATGTTCAAGTGATGCTGAAGTTGTTAGATGTAAGTACTATTTTTTTGTTAATGAATAATAACTATTACTAAATCGTTGTTTTATTGATCTCTATGGCGTGTATATATTTTAATATATTCAATGACAATATGCATAAATTCATAATGCATGCGGCATGCATTTTGGACGCAAATGGTAATATTGGCTATTTAATAAAAGTCGTAAAAGAACATATATTATAAAAATTATAAAATTTTGTGAGTTGTGACCTGTTAAAATATCAATGACAATTTATTTAAAAAGGGATTTTGGTTGAGAAAAAATGTCATCAAGTGATGAGTATGAAAATACCAGTGACCATGAGCCCGATGTTGAAAGTGAACAGATTGGTGGAAAATCGAGCAAGGTCTCAAATGAGCGAAAATTTTTGCAGTATTTTCAAACCGCTTCCAAGAAACTTTCAGATGGTGGCAATGATCCACAGGTTCCTAAACATGTAAAAAAACGTACAGCCTGGAACTAACAAGAAAAGAGTGCAGCAAGACCCTCACTTTTGCTTGGTCTGTAATAAGACGATTTGCCGTGGTAATCAAGCATCAAAGGAAAGACATGCTGCTTTAAACCACAAAAATGATCCTGGCTTCAACCTCTCAAAATCAATTGTTCCAATAAATCATCAAGCAGCTGTTGCAGCGAAAAGGAAGAAAGAAGATAGCACATTGTGTGAAAGTGAAGACACAGAGGAAGTAATGGAAATAGAAAATTCTTCTGACAATTCATCTTCTGGAAATGTAAGTCTCGTTCAAGTAACAACCACGCAATTTGGAAGCAAACGTCCTATACAATCAACTCTTAATTTCACTTCTGAAGAAAATTTTAAGCAAGCAAGTAGAGTTTGTGGTGATGACATTTCAGTGATTCACAATAAAATATATTGACAAGCTTCAAGAACGGATGGAGATAACTCCTTCAGAAAACAAGTTTATGTACAACGGCGAAACTGAAGCGGCAGTAAAGATTTTAAAGGAATCTTCTTGTCTTTCAGACATTGATGGCTCCGGTTTTAACTTCTACCCTGATACTTTTGGAGGTGGAATTGTCAGATGCGAAGCATGTTTTGAGATGATATGTGACAGCAGTCCTGCTCTACTGGACAAAGATCCATTACAAGTTCAACGAAAGATGGAGAAATCTCCAGGAAATACATTAGGAGCTGGATTAATGATTCAAAAGGAAAGAGTGGAAAAGTTGATGACAGGAGGCAATCAACCATGGTATAGCTTTAAAAACATGATGCTAGAACATGCAAGCTGTACAACAAGAAATGGAGGGGATGCACACTACAGAGCACTTATTGCCCGAAAAAGGCGACGTGTTATCAAAGAAAGGTCGATGGATGTATTGTGTAGTCAATTAAAGTCAGCTCTCCTTACAGTCAAAATAAAAGCTGCATCACTACATTACGAAAATGTCATTGGCTTAGTTCATAGTTGCGGTTCGGATGTTGGGAACTTGGGTCATGGAAGAATTCAAATGAAAGCCATGGTTCAAGCTTTTGAATGCTATTAACACAAGCGAACACGCGATCTCCTCACTACGCCTTTACCATCAACAGGACTGCCACCACCACACTTTGGAACTACGTCAGACAAGTCTACTCCAATTCACGTTTCAAATCACGCCATAATGATCCTAGTAATAGTAAATGGCATGAAGACAGCCATTCCATCGATGCTCCGCCTGTGTACTCATTTTCTGAAGCAGGCCTTAAAGGAGGGACAGCTGACGAATTAGCGGAACAGGTGATCTCTGCCCTGGTTAAAACCTTGAAGCTTCCAAATAATGCTTTGTCATCGTTGATGGCCCATCAAGCTGATGGTCAGTACCAGGCAAGAATGTTTCTTCAAACGTTGAAATCATCTGCACAAGGGGACAACGAAGAGGACCTGCCAGTTGGTCATGATATCTTTTTCGTTATACCCTGGGATACTGCCCACTGGATGGATCTTTGTATGGTGGATATTCGTGAGAGTAGCGAGTTCTTACGGCGCTTCATCAAAAGAGCAAACCAATTCAATACGATGTATGGCAGAGGAAAGGGGCATGCTGAATACTAGCCTGCATGGCAGGCGGTATTTCTACGGGCAGCGAAAATTAGGGAAGCAAAGGAAATACCGTCTGCCGCAAAACTAGGGGTTTTTGAATTACCCGTCCGCTGGTGAACGGGAAAAACGGATTGGTTAGTATTTTTATGTACTTGTCAATCAACGGCTAAATTCGGTTAAATGTTAATCATTAACCAAATGTTTTGACGTTTTGAAACTCTGCGTTTTGAAATTAGTTCACGTAATAAAAGAAGCAAATTAAAAGATACAAGCTGAAAAATAACACTCTAAATAGTGTTATTGATAGAAATTCGAACAAGAATATTTAACAAAGAAGATACGTCCGAAGGGGCCGAAGTTATGATCGGCGAAAGGTATGGGCTAGTCTATATTTTCGTTCAGACAATTACATGCGTATTAATCTGATAATATACTATCTCGCTTGACTTTCAAAGGCCATAAATCGCAATAACAGACCTCTCAACTTTGCAGAGAAGTTAAGAGTGAGATTGAAAAATTTCGGTCAGTGTACCATTTTAGGGGTCAAAAAAATTTTCCGGACAACCAATATTTTTCCGAACATACACAAAATTTTCGAAAAATCACAAAATTTGCCAAAAAATTGACTTAAGTTTAGACAAAATTTACAGAATTTGTCACATTTCTTTTATTGCAACCCAAAATTGCCCGACTGTTGATCGAATATTGCCCGACTGCCCAAAAAACTCGCCCGGTACGCCTATGCGGATGTGCCAAAATTTTTATGCGTTAGATTTACTAAACGTGGCGTGAGAGAGAGCGTGAGACTGAAGCGAATTGCGTGAGACTCACGCCGAATGCGTGAGAATTGAGAGGTCTGGCGTGAGAGCGTGAGACTGAAGCGAATTGCGTGAGACTCACGCCGAATGCGTGAGAGTTGAGAGGTCTGGAGAGTGCTGACATCAATGGGTTACGGGTTAATCAGACTACTTGCCCATGCATCCTGTTAACCCTTTTGTGTGGCAATGCACCCAACTTTAATGCCAGATAAGATTTTCTCATCAAGGGGAGAGTGCTTCCACTCAATTTACACTGAAGTTTATGCATATCAAGGCTTTGACAATATTCTTTGTATGGATACCATTATTGGACACAGCAAAGACATACGTAGCTGTATTAGAGAGGTGTTTGTTTAATATAGCATTGTACAGTATGTCAGGAAATTGGAAACTGTCCATAATAGAATACTTCGACAAGCCTCCCAATAAAATTAGCCAAAAACACCTGTTCACAGGAAATCATTGAAAATCTGTGAATCCTGGTCAGATTCTAACCTATAGGAAAGCCTGTATTGAAAGTTTGTATTGCACAACCGATCGAGATATCGGGTGTACAATTTTGATGCTTTCTATATATTTACTATTAAATTTTCGAAATCTTAGGTGCACTGATCATTTTAGCATGTTTGAAGAACGAGGAAAATAATGGTAAATAACATTCACATTGAGGAAGCTGAATAACATTCACATGTTAGGAACCTGTATTCAAACATTCCAACCATCCCGGTTTTCCCCGGGACTGTCCCGGTTTCTGTAGTATTTTAATAGTCGTATTCTTCAAATAAGGCTCATGTGACAAATATTAATGAAATTCATTTGGTATGGCTTTCAACGTTAGTGTAATAAAACTAGTTTTTGTAGCATCTACTGTGATTTTATTGTTTAATTCAAACTCAACTCAGGCAATTTTAACACTAACCCAAATAGACACCACATCAATGAGAAAAGCGTGGCATTCATTCGAGAGAGGCGTTTATTCGAGGGAGGCGTTTATTTAAGTAAAATTGGAAAATTGGGAAGTGTCCCGGTTTAGAGGACTCGGAGGTTGGAATGTCTGTGTATTCGCTTCCTCTAATACAAATAAAAAATGAGAAATAAACATTTATTTGAACAGCTTAGCAAAATAAATTTTTTGAAGAAATGCGTAAAGTTTCCAGTAACATAGTGTGAATAAATCTGTCCATATTTATATGTTCATGATTTCACCCGAGTTGTTCCACAAAACAGCCAATAATCCACAATACACGAGAGTTCAAAAACTTCGTAAAATAGTTCCATTAATTTAATAGATGACAAAAGTTAATTTTATGTACATGTATCATATTTTTGGATACTAAATGTTTCGTCCCTTTAAAACTCATTATTTCGCATGTTCACCATGCCCATGATGTTCATCTGGCTTAGCAAATATCTTCTCTACAACACAGGCGACAAGGAAAGCTCCAACTCCCCACGTAAAACCAGGAAAAAAGTAACGAAAATTCGCTCTAGAGCAATAATATGGATGACTTCTCCATGCCTCGAATCTAGCCCAGGGATCTTTGTTAGGAACTTTGAATTTCTTTATTGAATCCATCCAGAGAAAATAGAAGATCTAAGCTTTCTTTTAATCGTATAAAGCTACCATTAAATAATTCCAAATGATCAAAAATTTCAAATGAAAATCCACAATCTTGTACAGTGTCTTTAAAATATTGCTGTTTTACTAAACTTTGTAACCGAGCAATATTCTTTCCGTAGATGTTATCTAGATATACACAGAAATAATTGAGTCCACAGTACGTGTCGCTGACCGGTTTCCTACGGTAACATGCGCCTAAATCCACACTCATCCTAACAGACTTGAATTTATCCTCTTTTTATGTACAAAAAAATACGTATTTTGGTG